TACCGTTTTCCCTGTCTCTCCTTCCGTTCGTGCCTGCAGTTGGTCCCCAAAAAGAACCGTCTCTTGGTCTACAAGTACCTCTTCAGCGGTGAGTCATCCTGCTCGTTCCCCAGCTCCCCGCATCCCTCCCCGCTTCCCCCCTCCTCCTCCTCCCCCTCCCCCCTCCCCCCCACTCTTATTCCCCCCCTGTTCGTCCATCTCTTCAGTGCTGCGTCTTCCCCCCCCCTCCACCGTTCTCTGCTCCACACTTTCGTTCTCCCATTTGCCTCCAAATTACCCTGACCGATTCAGTTTTACAGATCCTTACGTGAAGAGAAACGGGATATTAGGGGGGAAGGGGGAAAAAGGGAGTGGAGTGGGGGAAGAGGTGGGTCAAGGAGTGTCAACGATGGTTAGAGTTTTTTAAAGCTGTTCGAAACGGCAATGCTTGTGCGGCCAGAGGAAGGGAAGGGGTGTAACGCGATGGCTGGTTTCTTGCCATCGAACGGCCGTTACGGAGAGAGCAGATTCGGGCAGATGTTTCTTTCGGCGGAAAATTGTTTTTGAGATTAGTTTGACGGAGTTGATTGTTATGAGCCGGGGCTTTTTGCGTACGTCTGAAGACTCGAGATGCCCCGGGATCGGTGGTGGCAATGCGGCGAGAGATTAGAGAATTTGTGCCTGGAGTTACGTTAGTGGAGAGATCACAGAATTGGTTCAAAGAGTGACGTTAGTTGAGTGATAAAAGGATTGCGCAGAGAGTGACGTTAGCAGAGAGGTTCGACACTCGAGGCGCGAGTGGCAATTTTGTGGCCTGGCTTCAGCCCGTCCGTAACTGTTCGACTTGGGGACCCGATTCAGAAATCTTGTGTCGAGGCGCCTTAAAGAACTAAAAATCTTGGTGGGGCTTGTCGTCCCCGCGCACGTGTGTCCGCGCGCGTGAGTGTCCGCGCAGGGTCGACCAGTGGGCGCGTCGACCGGTCGATCGTAAGGGAAGCGCCGTAGCACGGATATCTCACTATTGATTTTGTCGAACAAGTAAACTCTGAGAGCTTCGAGGGTCACTAGCACAGTTGTTTAACCTGCCCCCACTACCCCTTCCTACCCTTCCGCCCCTCTTGGCCCCGCCCCCCCTTTCCCCCAAGCACCCAGAGCTCCCTCTTGTGTCATCTCACCCCGTTCATTCCTGCTTGCCCCTCTCGCCCCTTCCCTGCCCCCTCATTCCAACAGAGGGAGTCCTGTTCGCGGAGAAGGACTTCAACCTGCCCAAGCACCCCGAGCTCCCAGCCTCTTTTCTGTCTTCTCACCCTTTTCCTTTTCCTCTTCCCCTTTTTCTCCCCTTCCCTGGCCCCTCGTCCCAACAGAGGGAGTCCTGTTCGCGGAGAAGGACTTCAACCTGCCCAAGCACCCCGAGCTCGAGGTCCCCAACCTGCAAGTGAGTAGCCTTGGTCCGATCTCGAGACTCCTGGCGTGTATTAGCTGTCTGGGATAGCATTCTGGTATACCATTGTCCGTCCGCCGTCCTCCCTAAGTCCTTGTCTCGTATTACCCGAAACCCCCACACCCACCCTTCCCTCCTCATCTCCCCGCTCCCACCACTCCCTCCTTATCCCTCCGCCCCCAACCCAATTCCCTCCCACCTCCCTTCCCTCCCACCTCTCCCCCCCGCAGGTGATCAAGCTGATGCAGAGCTTCAAGTCGAAGGGGTTTGTGCGCGAGACGTTCGCGTGGCGGCACTACTACTGGTACCTCACCAACGAGGGGATCGAGCACCTCCGCGACTACCTCAACCTCACCTCCCCCTCTTTCCCCTCCTTTCTTCCCCTTCCTCATCTGACGCTTTTCCTCTTCCCTTTTCACTTTCTACCTGGCTCTTCCCCGTTTCCCTCTCCGCCCGCGCCCCCCCCCCTCTCCGCCCCCCGCCGCCACCACCCCCCTCTCTCCCCCCCCCCCCCAGGTGATCAAGCTGATGCAGAGCTTCAAGTCGAAGGGGTTTGTGCGCGAGACTTTCGCGTGGCGGCACTACTACTGGTACCTCACCAACGAGGGCATCGAGCACCTCCGCGACTACCTCAACCTCCCCTCCGAGATCGTTCCCGCCACCCTGAAGAAGTCCTCCCGCCCGCCCGGCCGCCCCATGGGCGCTGGCGGCGACCGCCCCCCCCGGTAAGTCAACGCTGGTCAACGCCAGTCAGCGCAGGTCAAACGTGGGGTAAGGCTTCTCTGCGATCGTCCCCGCCACCCTCAAAAAGTACTCCCGCCCGCCCGGCCGCCCCATGGGCGCTGGCGGCGACCGCCCTCCCCAGTGAGTCAATGCTAGTCAACGCTAGTCAATGTCAGTCAACATGTTAACTCTGCCCCATGGGTGCTCTCTACCCCCACCCCCGTTTCCAAGGACTACAATAGGAACTGTTTAAATTGGCCAGGCCAATAATTGATACTGTGGGCGAACTCGGTTGGCAAATCCTTATCATCTTCCCTCCCGTACCTCCCATGCTCCAGCCGTTTCGAGGGTGGACGGGGCTATGGGGACCGCGAGGGATACCGCGGGTACGGTGCCGGTGGTGATGACAAGGCCGGTGCTCCGGGCGCGTACAAGCCAGCCTTCAGGGAGGTGAGCCTTTCTACACTAACTTTTAGCTAAGAAATAATGTGACTGCAAGGAGCAGGTTTGGGCGTGGTGTGCTGCCTAACACTTGTTGCAATCCGTCTGCCCCTTGCGGTTCGACTGCACTGTCACTCCTGCAGCTTCTCAGATAGTCCAGATGGTCCAGATAGTCCAGATTTTGTTTCTGGGGTGTGGGCTGCGCAGCTCATAATGTATTGTGCGTGCAATTGTCCTGAACTGTGCCTCAGGGTGGCGGCCGCGGTGGCTTTGGCCGTGGAGCTGGGGGGTATGGTGGTGGCGACTATGGCAGCGCTCCCGGTGCTCCTGGGGCTCCTCCTCCCGCTGTGTAAATGAGACATGGGCATGCGCTCTTGGGCCAAAATTATTGAAATCAGGCCTTCTCAAGGATTAGATGCCTGTGTACGGTACCCGCTCCTGCTCAGCTTTTGTGGGTGGGGCGAGTTTTACAAGCCCCTTCTGGTGCAGTAGGATGAGGATGGGCTCAAGTGTTGGCATTATGTTTCATGTGATGCTAATGTTTCTCATTTTGAAATGTGCAATGAAGCCCGAAACATGAGTCACAAAATTTATCACATGCCATTCTCTGGCCCTGGACCTGTCTAGACTTCAATTACCTTGCCGAGCGGTGGGCTTCGCGTTATCGAGGTGGCCGTTATCGAACTTGCGTTGGACGCTGCTTGCAGTCGGACGAGACAAGACGCTTCGACCCCGCAGCGCTCCGACTTTGACCAGTGTGCTCAACTTCAGTCAGCAGCCAATCAAATTTGTTCCCGCGTGCACTTAGTCACAACCTCCTCGTGCCAGTGACTGAAGGTGAAGGGAACCATACCTAAGCGACACAGAACCAAACTAATTCTGACTGCTCCGAGCCTGTCAAAACAGGCTTTTCACGCCCCGGTAGGCTCGGATGGAGGTAAACCGTGTCGTAGCTTATGGATGCCAGGCACGTGTCCCCATCGTTGACGGCGGAGATGAGTTCTTCTCGTTTGTCTTGTGAACCTCGATATCATCCTTCACCACAAAACTCCAGCCTCGAGCTCACCTGATTCTCCCCCTCCCCAGCCTTCAGCGCATCTCTCCAGTGTGGGCATGGTGTTGGTTAGCTGTTTGTCTGGAAGACTGAAGTAGTGACGAAGTTTTCAGGGGCGTTGTGATTAGCCCTTTCTAGCGTCGATCTCAGCCATTACGAGTCGCTCCTAGAACAATTAAGTTGAGAAAAATCGTGCAAGTCTAATTAGACCCGACGCCTCCTGCTCTTGCATGCCCAGAATCATTCACACATAAGGTCCTTCGCTACCAGGTCGCAGGGATACGTAAGATCAGCTGTAGGATCGATCAGGTCCGAGCCATGGCGTCCACGTTATTCAATAGGATGGACCTTTTCACGTGCTTCGTCTTTCTCCTCGTGCTCGGCCTGAGCCAACGCTTTCACCTCCTGCCGTCCGTCCCGTCGCCGGAAGAGTTCATATCCGACACAATGATCCACCAGTCGGGAGTATCAGTGGCCGATGAAAGCTCGAGAGGGCCGCGGAGGCGTCTTCTAGAGGCTCCATCACAGGTATCCCATCCAATGTTCGGTCCATGTCCTCCCGTCCGTCCCGTCGCCGGAAGAGTTCCTATCCGACACGATGATCCACCAGTCAGTGGCCGATGAAAGCTCGAGAGGGCCGCGGAGGCGTCTGTTAGAAGCTCCGTCACAGGTATCCCATGTTCCGATCCATGTCCTCCTTAGTCTGCTTCTATTACGACGCTCCAGTGCTGGTGGTATCTTGCTACTCGCTCGGAAGACTTTAATACACTTGCGTGACAGTGGCGGTAGCATAACGAGGCAGAATAAGGGGCATGGCTTCTGGTGATGTTGATGGGGGGACATGGTAGACCAGAAGCGTGGTTCGCGCCGTCAGTTTCGTGCAGCCTCGCTGTCGCTGAAGTACCTATGCAGACATGCAGATTTATAGAGTACGAATTGATCAAGCCAGGCGAGCGCAATCGACTCAAACGATTCTCACACGGCTGTTTCTACCACTGTGTCGAGCCTGACGAGATCTTTGGAGTCGACTGAAAAAATACGCTGTTGACTCAGTGATACCCACCCGACAAGTACAGAAACGGGTGATCACATGATATCATACAAGGAGTTTAAAGAGAAAGACACGTCGATCACAATTCTACGCAACTCGGATAGAAACGCCCATCCTTGATAAGTCTGTCAATGCCCCCGTTCGTACTGGAGTTGCCTTTGTCCATTCCGAAAGCCACCTAAGTAGAAACGTCAATCCTGAATTGCTACATCCGTGAATAACCGCGTATTATTCTCTACGACCTCACAAAGCCACCCGTTTTCATCGCTCGGACATCCATGAACGTCGATCCTTGCTTGAGTCGTCCGTAAATGCTCCCGTCTTTATGGCAGGCGGAGGATCGCGAGGCACAGAGGCAGATGGTGCGCGCGGCGGTGGAGCGATGGCGGAAGGAGCAGCGGGCGCGCGACAAGCGGGAGATGAACGAATCCATGCCGAACACGCAGCCGCCCAAGGGGGAGCGGTTCCTGCTGGGCCCGAAGATAACTGGTGAGTGTCTCTTGAGTCGACGCAAAGGCTACCTCGAGGGATGGACGAATCCATGCCGGACACGCAGCCGCCAAAGGGGAGCGGATCCTGCTAGGCCCGAAGATTACTGGCGAGTCTGGCTCTGCACGTCAATATATGAGGAGGTGCCTCAAGTCGGACGTTTGAAGGGAATGTTTTCTTCTGGAGCTACCGCGAGTCCGCATAGGTTTTCCAGTGCGTGCCTGCCACCGCGAGTCCGCATAGGTTTTCCAGTGCGTGCCTGCCACCGCGAGTCGTCTGTTGAATTATCGCAGAAGTCAAAGGGGTGCGTTCCTGCTGCGCACGTATATGATAGATAATTGTTTGCCCCGCATTGGCGAAGCGACTTAAATCCCCGGTAGTTCTGAGTGCTGGTAGTTCTCTTCGGATCGACACGACGATCAGTTTTGTCCATCTCCCAATTTCCCTTCTCCTGCTCGGCACTTCGTTTCTTCCCCCCTGCCCTTTCCCTCCCCTTCCCCACTCTCTCCCCCGCAGACTGGGACGAGCTGCGCACAGTCGACGTGCACAAGCACCCAGCGAGCAAATCAACAGTCTTCTCTTTCCGCCTCTCCCCGTCCAATTCCCCGTTTCTCTCCCCGCTCCCCTCGTTTTCCCCTCCAGTCCGTTGCCCTAACCTCCCCTTCCCCCCTCTCCCCTTCCCCCGCAGACTGGGACGAGCAGCGCGCGGACTACGTGCGGAAGCACCCGGAGAGCAACGAGACGCGAATTGGCTTGACCGTCTCATCTTTCCCCCCCTCCCCTCTCTCCCCCCCTCCCCACTCTCCCCCCTCCCCACGCGCAGACTGGGACGAGCAGCGGGCGGACTACTTGACGCGGCAGGGCAAGGCGCGCGTGATGCTGGTGACACCAGTCTGGGGTCGCTTTGTGGATTCAACCAAACGGTCTTCTCTTTCTGCTCTTACCCTCCATTTTCCTTCTGGTCCCCTCCCCTTCCCCCCCCTCCCTCCTTTCCCCTTCCGCGCAGACTGGGACGAGCAGCGCGCGGACTATGTGCGGAAACACCCCGGTTGCAACGAGACGCGGCAGGGCAAGGCGCGCGTGATGCTGGTGACGGGGTCGCAGCCGGGCGTGTGCGACAACGACGTGGGCGACTTCCTGCTGCTCAAGTCGCTCAAGAACAAGCTCGATTACTGCTCGCCGCGAGACATCCAGGTGGGGAGAGGGCATACGGAGTGCGGATTACGGGGTTGTTGAACTGCTGTGTGTCTGAATCTCAACCGATTTGCTGCTCAAGTCGCTCAAGAACAAGCTCGACTACTGCTCGCCGCGGGACATTCAGGTGCGACGTGACTGTATCGAGCGCTGCTCGCCATGCGATATTGGCGTACTGGACTATTTCCCTCATGCCTCTCCTGGCAGATCTACTACAGCACAGCCATCTTGGATCACTCTATAGACTCGTTCTGGGTGACTCTTGACCAACCCCTCCCCGCACTCCTTTTTTTCTACCTTGTTTCCCTCCCCCTTGCTTACTCTCCTATCAGATCTACTACAGCACGGCCATTCTGGATCGCTCTATGGACTCGTTCTGGGTGACCCTTCACCCACCACCCTCCAACCTCCCCTCTGCGTCATCCTGGGCCCCCCGGCACCATCCTTTCCCTCTCCTATCAGATCTACTACAGCACGGCCATTCTGGATCGCTCTATGGACTCGTTCTGGGTGACCCTTCACCCACCACCCTCCAACCTCCCCTCTGCGTCCCCCTGGGCCCCCCGGCACCATCCTTTCCCTCTCCTATCAGATCTACTACAGCACGGCCATTCTGGATCGCTCTATGGACTCGTTCTGGGTGAAGCTGCCGCTGCTGCGCAAGCTGATGCTGTCGCACGCCGAGGTGGAGTGGTTCTGGTGGATGGACTCCGATGCTGTTTTCACAGGTGAGGGAGTGGTGTGTAGTGCGGTGCAGCGCGGTGAAAGCCGGTTTGAAGAGGTGCTGGGAGGTGTGCATTGAGAGGTTCCAGAGGGCAAGAAGCTGATGCTGTCGCACGCCGAGGTGGAGTGGTTCTGGTGGATGGACTCCGATGCTGTTTTCACAGGTGAGAGTGGGTGTAGTGCGGTGCAGTGCGTTGCAGAGGGTGCTGGCTTACTGTAAGTGCTGTACAGGAGGGGAAGCTGATGCTGTCCCACGCCGAGGTGGAGTGGTTCTGTTGGATGGACTCCGGTGCTTTGTCCATGGTTCGGAGAAAGGGCTGATGTGAGAATGAGTGGTCTATTTGTGCTGGGAATGGGTGTACAGCGGTGAATTGCTGTGCCGTTTATCAGGTGCAAGGGCTGTTCATGCACCTCAATCGCAGATCAAACGCTCGACACGACACCCGTTCTCTTTCACATCTCTCGCCATCTCTGTCCAACTCTCCGCGTCTCTCGCCATCCCTCCTTCGTTTGTCCTACAGACATGACGTTTGATGTGCCGTTTGAGAAGTACGAACCACACGTCCACATGGTGATGCACGGATACTCATGCTGATGTTCCCCTGCCCCACTCCTCCCCGTTTCCCTGCGGCCCCGCCTCTCTCCCCCCCCCCCACTTAAACAGACATGACGTTTGATGTGCCGTTTGAGAAGTACGAGCCACACGTCCACATGGTGATGCACGGATATGACTCGCTGGTCTATGGCAAGAAGGACTGGTGAGCCCCTTGAAACCGTAGATGCTGTGTGTGTTGTGATTCTCATCACCCACGTTCACATGGTGATGCACGGATATGACTCGCTCGGCATGCCATACCCATGCCGTGCTGTGCTGCGCTGGGCCATGCCATGCCACACCATGCCATGCAATGCCATGCCAGGCCATGCCATGCCATGCCACACCATGCCATGCAATGCCATGCCAGGCCATGCCATGCCATGCCACACCATGCCATGCAATGCCATGCTGTGCTTATGAGGCGTATGAAGCTCCTGACTTCTCTCTCGTGTCATTCTGTGTCTTCCATGCCGTACCACCATGCCACACCATACCACATCATACCATGCCATTCTCCACCACGCCATACCACATCATGCCGTACCGTGTGCATCACAGGGTGGGGCTCAACGCTGGCATCTACCTTATCCGAAACTCGCAGGTCAGTCACATCGCCACAACCATTTCTGAGTCGATTGGAGAATCATGGGTTTAGGAGGATGTGTACCACATGGTATCACGACATGCTGTGTGCATCACAGGGTGGGGCTCGACGCTGGCATCTACCTTATCCGGAACTCGCAGGTCAGTCACAGTCACAGCCACAGCCACCTCCACCATGATTACCCACCCTCCTCCCTCCCTGCTGATCGCTGGGTGTTCTTGGAAATCTTCACAAGTCACCACCAGCACCCTCCCCGCCTCCTGTTGAGCTCCATACCCGCGTCTCCACAATGCCCTGTGGCCATCTCTTCGCTTACCAGTCTGTGAGTTTTGAGTCGACCCAAAACGAGGTGTCTTTTGAGTCGACTCCAATGTCACCAGCACCCTCCCCGCCTCCTGTTGAGCTCCATACCCGCGTCTCCAGAATGCCCTGTGGCCATCTCTTCGCTTACCAGTCTGTGACTTTTGAGTCGACTCAAATCGAGGTGTCTTTTGAGTCGACTCAAAACGAGGTGTCTTTTGAGTCGACTCCAATGTCACCAGCACCCTCCCCGCCTCCTGTTGAGCTCCATACCCGCGTCTCCAGAATGCCCTGTGGCCATCTCTTCGCTTACCAGTCTGTGACTTTTGAGTCGACTCAAATCGAGGTGTCTTTTGAGTCGACTCAAAACGAGGTGTCTTTTGAGTCGACTCCAATGTCACCAGCACCCTCCCCGCCTCCTGTTGAGCTCCATACCCGCGTATACACACGGCCCTGTGGCCATCTCTTCGCCTACAAGTCTGAGTCTTCTGTTGGCTCAGTCCGGAGTGAAGGGGGTGTGCCTTCGCTTGCTCCAATTCCTCCTCTCATGCCTTCCTCTCGCATCTCCTTGCTTCCCCCCTCTTCTCTCTCTCCCATTGTTAAGTCACTGGATTTCAGGGATGAATTGCAGGGAGTTTTTGAAAATTCTCATAAACTCCCTGCACTGTGAAGTTGTTGAATTTCAGGGAGGAATTGGCGTAGTTTGGCGTAAAGGAACCTGCCTTCCCTTGTTCTGATTCTTCCTCCACACCTCCATTTCGCATCCCCTTGCCCCCCCTCCCCTTGCTCTCTCCCGCAGTGGTCGCCTGACTTCATGGCGCAGTTCGGAGTGAAGGGGCTTGCCTATTCTTGCTCCTGATCCCAGGACCTCTGAATCCCTCTCACCCCCCATTTCTCCCATTCCCCTCCTCTTCCTCCCCCGCAGTGGTCGCTTGGCTTCATGGAGGACTTGGCGCAGTTCGGAGTGAAGGTGCCTGCCTTCCCTTGCTCCGTACTGCAGTGCCTCTGAATACCTTTTTAAACCCCCTTCTTCTCTCGAACTCCCCCCTCATCCCCCAGTGGTCGCTTGACTGGACTTGGCGCAGTTCGGAGTGAAGGGGCTTGCCTATTCTTGCTCCTGATCCCAGGACCTCTGAATCCCTCTCACTCCCCATTTCTCCCATTCCCCTCTTCTTCCTCCCCCCCAGTGGTCGCTTGACTTCATGGAGGACTTGGCGCAGTTCGGAGTGAAGGGGCCGATGAGGGACGCAGCAGGCGTGAAGCTGTTCAAGGAGCTCTCTGTAAGACCCCTCTCCCTGCATATTCCAACCTCTCTCCCTCACTCTCACTCTCTGGTGCGACCTCGTGGTAAGCACTTACTGAAGGGGGCAATTAGGGATGCAGCAGGCGTGAAGCTGTTCAAAGAGCTCTCTGTAAGCCACCAACTGACCGGGTATGCACTCGTAGTTGCATTCTAAACAGCAGTTTGGGGTGAAGGGGGCGATGAGGGACGCAGCAGGCGTGACGCAGTTCAAAGAGCTCTCTGTAAGCATTACATCAGCCGTCGATGCTGCCACTCCTTTTAAGTGATTTATTGAAGATCTCAGACGCTCAAACAGTAGTATGATGTGAGGCATCTCGTACCGCTGCATTCACCTCCTGCTCTCTGCTGCTCTCTGCTGCTCAGTCTCGTCCTCTCCCGCCTGCTCTTCTCCCTCTCTCCCCCCTGTCGCCCTCCTCTCCTATCCTTTCTCCGTCCCCCCCCCCCACCTGCAGACCCGCCCCATGTTTTAGGGAGACGATCAGAGCGCCATAGTGTGGATGATGGCTTGCCACCCGGAGAAATACGCCAAGGGCATCTACCTGGAGAACACAGGAGTGCGATAGTGTGGATGATGGCTTACAGTCTCCTCCTCCCGCTCTCTGCTGCTCTTCCCCCTCTCCTTCCCCTGTCGCTCTCTCCTCTCTCCCACCACCCCGCCCCGCGTGCAGACCCGCCCCATGTTTGAGGGAGATGATCAGAGCGCCATAGTGTGGATGATGGCTTACCACCCGGAGAAGTACGCCAAGGGCATTCACCTGGAGAGCTCGTTCATGCTGCACTCCTTCTGGCCCACCATCACGCCACAGTGAGTCACAACAGTTGAAAACAGTTGAAAACAGTTGAAAACAGTTGAAACAAGAGTGTGCTGACACGAAGGGCTTGGAGTGTGTATGAGCATGTGCGCCAAGGGCATTCACCTGGATGCTCCTTCATGCTGCACTCCTTCTGCCCCACCATCGCCCCGCAGTGAGTCGCATGCTGCCGCACATGTTCCCTTGCCTAGGTCCCACTATCACTTGGTGTGAGCCAAGCACATCTAATTGGAGAGCTCGAGCTCGAGCTCGAGCTCCTTCATGCTGTTCTCCGTCCGGCCCACCATCGCCCCTCAGTGAGCCCACCCCCACAACCCCCCTTATTACCACAGCTACGAGGAGCTGATGGACAAGCACCACCCGGGGTATGGTGACCACCGGTGGCTGCTCATTACAATCTTACCCCCCACTGCTCACCGTGTGTCTTGCCCCCTGCTTCCCCTTGTACACGTTCTCCTCCCTCCACACCTGACAGTTACGAGGAGCTGATGGACAAGCACCACCCGGGGTACGGTGACCACCATTGGCCTCTGATATACCTTGCTCCCTCTCCCTCTGCCTCTTCCCCCCCTTCCACCCTCCGTCCCCTTCCCCTTCACCTCATGTCCACAGCAACGAGGAGCTGATGGACAAGCACCACCCAGGGTATGGCGACCACCGGTGCCCTCTGGTGAATGATATGCTCACCTTCTCTTGTTATTCCTACCTCGCCCACGCCAACCCCCCCCCAACCCGCTGACAGCTACGAGGAGCTGATGGACAAGTACCACCCGGGTTACGGAGACCACCGGTGGCCGCTGATTACCCACTTTGTGGGGTGCAAGCCGTGCGGCAAGATCGGGCAGATTGAGTACGAGGAGACACAGCGATGCGTGGAGAACATGGAGAGGTGGGTGCATGGATGGGTGAGAGCACTAGTGAGATGCTAGTTTTGCGGGGTACCAGTCGTGCAGCAAGACTGGCCAGATAGAGTATGAGACACAGCGATGTGTGGAGAACATGGAGAGGTGAGTGCATGGAGGAGGGTGCGAGCTAGGGGGTGGACATGGAGAGGTGGGTGATTGGAGAAGGGTCGCACTGCAAGTTGTCAGGACACTTCAGGACTCTGGTTGATTCGAAGCTGAGTGGTAACTGTTGAGACTACAAGCCTGCAGCAATTTGGGTCAATCAGAGTAGCAGGAGAGAGCGGTGTGGTACAAAGATGGAGACAAAATGGCAAGGAAACAATAGGATATAACTTATATTGCAGATCCAGTGCTTGCTTGGTTGCCTTGACCGTCTTTTCCTTGCCTGTGAATCACAGGGCGTTCAACTTTGCTGACAACCAAGTGTTACGCAAGTTTGGTTATGAGCACCTTCATTTGGATACATTCCAAGTTGTGAAGATCAACTTTACTACGTACAAGGCGTCGGAGTTCGACTCGCATCCGCAGAAGAATAGACAGTTGGATTTCTAAAAATCCTTTCTAATGGTAGGGTGCAGTGCAATTGCATCTTAGGCAATAGTATCCTATCTAAGCAATAGGTACGACCTAGGACTGACGAGATATTTATTTCCCTTCATTCTTCCTCGTATTCCTGATCATAACCGTTGCAAATAAACTTGAGGTTTCATTGTTTAGTGCTGATGAATTTCAGCTAGCTATTTGAAGGGTTTTCAATGGCCTACACGACCACTGAATAAAAGTGTTTGGAATTGCGTCAGCTAAGCGGAGAACAGGTACGTTGGAGCCCCGTTTCGCCATCGTCGTTGAAAGGGCGGGAAACGCGGCGGCCGTCACGTTCCGTCATCAACCAGCGCCACGTATGCGCCCTATTTGCTGACTAAGCGGACCGTTCGGTTCCCCCGAAGAGTGGTGCAGGGGGGAGACGAAGCCTCCAGATTTCAAAATCCGCCCACTTTACGAGTCGCGGTGCCGACATTTTCAACATTACCCAAATTCGCCCCTGCCTCAAATGGGGGAAGATAGCAGTCCCAGTTAGCAGTATAAGCTAGAGGATTCCTCAAATCTCGTTTCTCGTTGGTTTTTCGACTTGCATTCATGGTGGCTTGTCAGAAGAAATAGGCGCGACGTGCACAGAGACAGGGGCGACGCCAGGTTCGTAAAAGCAGCTGTGACCATAAGCCTGGAGAGAAACTGGCGAGATTCGCGAATCTTGAAACGTGCGTCACGTCTGCCGCTGGCTGGCATAGGTTCAAGTTACCGAGGTGTCAGGAAACGCTTTGAAGCATCACAGGTGCATATTGAACCCATAATACGGTTGACAACTGGCTACTGAGCCCTCAATTATGCCTGCTGGTTACTTACTGAATCGAAGTAGTTTTGTTCTTCGCTTCTCACAGTGCTCGTGCTCTGTCGTTATGCTGCAAGTTAGAACATGCTATGTACACAGGCGTGCGTCCCAATAGCCATAGTAGTAGTAGCATTAGAAGAACTCCTCGGTCCTATCGCTTCCCTAACAATCTACCACTCTCGTCCAGACTAAGGTGTTCGCAGGGCTATTGGAAATATATAGCAGCGAAGATTCTTGTTGATATGTTCGGTATAAGCTGACCTGTTAGGCGACTCAGAAATCTTTGAACGCAGGACAGGAACGACTAGTTCCTTCTGGTGGTAACGCAACACTCGTGTGTCGCTCCTTCTCCGGAACGACGTAACAATTTTTTTTCCCCGCTGCGCGTATTAGAAATTTTCCAAGGTTTTTCTTCCTGCAACTCACGTATGGCGGCGATCCGCTCTCGATCATATTCATCCCTTACTTACCAGAGCCGGGTTGATTTGAGGCTCTGGGCGCTTTACGCCGTCGCTGCGCTACTACTACTTATCGGGATCGAGCCGCGCCTATCTGCAGCAGCATCTGCGCATGAACTTATGGTTAAGGCAACTTCCGTGCCGCAAACGCCGCACGTGTCAGCAGCAGCAGCGGCAGCGACTGGGCATGAGATCGAGCCGCGTCTGCCAGCAGCAGCAGCGGCTGGGCATGGGGTCGTGCGAAACTCTCGCTCCGTCTCAGCCGCCCACAACAGCGGCATAGCTGTTACGAACCGCTCCGCTTCCGCGGCCAAGGAGCCTCGCGCAACGCTCGCAAGCACGCCGCTGTTCCCGTCGATTTTCTTTGCTCTAGCGCATTTTTCCTTTGAAAACTCTCGGATCTCTCCACTTCTCGGTTTGGTTAGCGACGTCGCGAAAACAGCAGAAATCGATACGCAAACGATCCCTCCGTGGGAGGTCGAGCAGCGGGAGTTGGTCGACAAGTCTGAAGCGTCGAGGGAAGCTTCTAACCATCCGCGAGTAAACTCACCACAGTCCCGTATTCGTGTCGCTAGAGAGTTACACGAGTCGGAAGCGGCAGCGGCGGTGACGGCGCCGGTATCACTATCCCCCAGCAATCCCGCTCTCTTCCCCACCATAGAATCTCCGATCGTAATCCTCAGCGGCACGTCGCCATCCACAATCGCGACAGGTGGAATGATCGACGACTCACACGAGCCGTTGCCAAGGGCGGGGGTCCTACAGCGGCGCGGCGGCAAGTTGAGCGCGCTTCCGTACCTCGCCTTCCTCGCCACCACTGGTCTTTCTTCGCTCATCAAGCCACGCGGCTCGGCAATTTCTGCAACCTCCGCAACTCCCGCAGCTCCGGCTACAACCGCGGCATTTGAAGCGACTTTTGAGGCACCTCAAAAGTCGGCTACAACCGCGGCATTTGAGGCGTCTCAAAGGGTATCCACAGGATCAGCAGGTTCCTCAAATTCGGCACCACCTGGTGCGCAAAAGCGCGCCGGCGGGACTCCGAGCGCTCCGCCTGCGCCTCCCGCTCCGCCAAAGCCCGCAGCTTCCGCGCCCCAATCGTCTGTGCCCGCCATTCCTTCCCCCGTCCCCGCTGGCACTGCTGTTGCAAAGGGGAGACCTAGCGGGGAGGCAACGGGGAAACAAGCAACAAGCGGGGAAACAGCGACCGGGGCAGCAGCGGGCGGGAGTGCAACGAGCAGCAGCAGCAGCAGCAGTAGCAGCAGCAGCAGCAGCAGCAGCAGCAGCAGCAGCAGCAGCAGCAGTGACAGTAAGAGAAGTGCCAGCAGCATCGCAAGTAGTAACAGCCAGAGCAGCAGAGACAGTAGAGCCAGCAACAACAGCCAAAGCAGCCAGAGCAGTCAGAGCAGTCAAAGCAGTCAAAGCAGTCAAGGCAGTCAAAGCAGCCAGACAAGCCAGTCTAGTCAGAACAGTCAGGGCAGTCAGAGCAGTCAAAGCAGTCAAGGCAGTCAAAGCAGCCAGACAAGCCAGTCTAGTCAGAACAGTCAGGGGAGTCAGAGCAGTCAAAGAAGTCAAAGAAGTCAAAGCAGTCAAAGCAGCGTGAGCATTCAAACGGGTAACAGCACGAAACCCACTGGTACCACCAGCAACACAGCAGGCTCAGCTGTCCCAGGCAACGAAAGTGCCAGCAGCAGTAGCGGCAGCAGTGGCAGCACCAGCAACCCCAAAAAGCCTGTCACCCCACCCACTGTCCCGAATGCCACTGTGTCCGGAGCCCTGTCACCCAGCCCTCCTCCTGTCACCAGCAAGACAGCAGGCTCAGCAACTGGGCAGGGCAACGGAACAGCCAACAGCAGCAGCGGCAGCAGTAGCAACCCCAAAAAGCCTGCCATCAATCCCACTGCCCCAAATGCCACTGTGTCCGGAGCCCTACCGCCCACCCCTCCTCCTGTCATCAACAATGGTAGCAGCGGCAGTAGTAGCAGCAGCGGCAGCAGCGGCGGCGGCACCGGCAGCAGCGGCGGCGGTAGCGGCAGCAGCAGCAGTGGCAGCGGCGTTGGCGGTGGCGGTGGCGGTGGCAGTAACATCCCCGGAAAGCCTGTTATTGAATCCAGTGCCCCCAATGCCACTGTGTCTGGAACTCTATCACCCATCCCTCCTCCTGTAACCAGCAACAGCAGCAGCGGCAGCGAAGGCAGCGCCAGAGGCAACAGCAACAGCAGCATCAGCATCAGCGGCAGCGTGAGCATCAACAACAGCAGCGGGTTCGGTGTGGGACGTTGGGATTACAAAGCAGCAGCCACGTTCTATGGCGAACCTGACGCCACAGGCACCATGGGCGGCGCATGCGGTTACGGTAACCTGTACAACACCGGTTACGGCACCATGACCGCTGCGGCATCTATTGGCATTTTCAACAATGGTTTGCTTTGCGGCGCGTGTTACGAAGTCGAGTGTCTTGGATCGCCGGCCGTGCCGCCCGGGTTTCGCGTCTGCTCTGGAAAGCGTGTGATTATAACAATTACCAATCTGTGCCCGCCAGGCGGTAACGGCGTGTGTAACGCTCCGCATCGGCACCTGGATATGAGTGAGCCTGCCTGGCAGGTGCTGTCCCCGATTCGAGGCGCGGGGATTCTCAAAACGCGGATGAGGCGCGTTCCCTGCAGAAAAAAGGGCGGAATAATCTTCCTAATGACCGGAAACCCTTATTATCTGCAAGTTTTGGTGTATAATGTGGCGGGGGTTGGAAGTATATCCGGGTTTGAAGTCAACGACGGAAGTGGGATGGGTTGGGAGCGGTTCAAACACAACTGGGGAGCGTATTACTCCAAGAGCAAGAAATATGGCGGGAGGTCATTATCGTTCAGAGTGACAGCGAGCAACGGAGAGGTGCTGACGATTCTGAATGCTGTTCCTCCGGATTGGTCACTCGGAGTGGCGTATCAAAGCAGGCTCAATTTCAAGGCAAAGCCTAGAGTTAGACCACCACCACCACCACCACCACCACCACCACCACCACCACCACCACCACCACCACCACCACCACCACCACCACCACCACCACCACCACCACCACCACCACCATCGCCTCTGCTAGTGTCACAACCAGTGCTGCCACCAGCAGCACCAGGAGCACCAGTGGCAGTTGCTGCTGTTTCTGATGTGGAGCCTCTTCCTCCTGGGCAGCAGAAGGCAGCACCACCAGTATCACCTAGCCAAGGAATTGGATTCCTCTCTCCAAGTGCTGCAACCTTCGATCAGTCTAGAGGATCCGGTTCTGCTTCGGTTACTCCCTCTCCACCAACGCTCAGCTCTTTAGGATCAACACCTCCCATGGCTCCTCCTTCCTTGAAAAGTGTTGGTGCTATGGGTACACTCAGAGCATCAAATCGAGCGAGGTTACAAACGCTAATGTCGGCGGGAGTGGCGGACGCACCAGTTTTACACGGTAGACTGTCACGAGAAGAAAAACACCATGACCCACTGTTTGACGGATACATCGATGTTACTGCTGGACTGCATGTATGAGAAGGTGTGTTTGTACAATAACTAGATACCTGTACCTGTAATGCTTACATGTGTTTGTAAATAAGTGTAGACATTGTGCAATCGCACTCATTACGAAATAGAGCATGTGCAGTATCCCAACGGAAAGTGAATCGGGATTCCCCAGCAACCCCTATTTGTTGACCCCCACAACTGGGGGAGGCGTTTGCCTTGGTCAAGCGGGGCAGCTACCCCTCCTAGAATTTGTTTGTTTTGCCCGAACCTTCCATACGTTCCCCTCCCGTGGAGGTACAGACGAAAGAAGGAACCATTTTCCCAGCCTTCTAGGTTGGATACTTGCTGGGTGCTTTGAGTTGACTTCCGAGTCGCGCTTCCAAACGAACGGGTGGTTGGTTGGTTACAACCTGGTCGCGCAATGCTGGAGCGCGGATGATATGCAAGCCAGGCCCGCCCTTCAAATGTCCCCCTCTATTTGCTTCGCGGCCCGTTCACGAGCCGTGAATTTGTAAATTTGGACGGATTGCGGAGCCGCATGTGTCTTTGTCAGCGGACACTTGAATTACGGCAACGTCTACACGGGGAGGAGATTTGAAGCGGGTTTGTGAATTTCGTCGATGCCTCCCATTTCTAGCTCAAGCATTTCCATTTTGTGACTGATAAATTTTCCATTGGCGGTTGGCGCACACTCGAACCCGCTCGTTCACACGAGCGCTAGCACTTGAAGCTGTCGGGTGGTCATGGTTGGAAGCTTGACCTTTCTCGGAAACAAGCTATGAGCGCCCTTCCTCGAGGAACACTTAAATTCGTCCCGTTTGGTGCTTTCACCACAGTTTCTAAGGCCAACTCAAGGCCGTTCCCAGGTGGTTTGTTGAGCAGTCCATTTGCACCAGCATAGCCGCCGCATCGTTCTACGAACTCCTCCTTCCATTCCTACTAACCACGACTACATCGCACCGTCCGGCTCTCGTCTCTTCGGAAACATAGCACATAGCGAACATGAGTCCTCGCACAGGCTCACTCGTATCTCAAACAATGTCGTTCGTCCCTCAAACAAACTCGCCCCGCCCTAGTAGCAGGCATGCTACCTTCCTGATAGTCCTCCCGCTCCTGGCAGTCTTCCTCGCGTCGCTCATCGTCGCGCCTTGCGACGCGCACGTGCAGGTCACTCCGCCCGACCAAGTTCCTGTCATGACGCAAAAGGACCTTCTTAAAGTCATCTCCAAAACCGAGAAGCAGCAAATCGAGGCGCAGATCCAATCCGCCCTCGCAAACTTCACCGCGGACGGCGGAAACTCGACGCGGAAAAAGGGGGGCCACAAGAGCAGAAACGGCAAGAAAAAGGGCCACCGAACCGGCACGAAAGGACGTCACCACCCTTTGCGAGGCTCGGGTGTCGTTCTCGATTCCGCCCAAGTCAAAGGTTACGATGGCGAAAACAACTCTGGTGACGGAATCGGCGAGATTGTCACGCTGCCCACTGGCCCCGGCAGCAACGGTCCCGTTAAAGGCATGGCGCGCGCCCAAAGCGTTCTCCTTCAGCTGTCTTATATGGAGGCGACTCTCGGTACAGCGTCGAGGCGCGCGGAGGAGACAAGTTCCTGCGGGAAGTTGCTGGTTCGGGCGCACTTTCAAATTCCCAAGGCGATTGAGTTGGCCGAGAAAGGCGCGCTGATTAAAGCGGGCTGGAAAGTCGCGTTTGCGCGGTCGCTTGTCGAGGAGTGCCTTAACGCGGATCCACACTCGTCGGTGGCAGAGCTCGCGGAGGCGGCGCGGACAGCAGCAAACCTGTTGATGCCGGACCTGAAGAAAAACGACAACGCCAACTGGCAGCGGATCCAATGGCTGAAAGATCGCCAGGTAGACCCGATCGACACCAAGGGCGAAGCAGAGCCGTTGGATCCTCTGGAGATCGACTACTGCGAGAAATTCTCGGAAGTCGACAGCAACAATGTGAAGATTCGGGTGGACACGTCAACCCCTTGCCGTGAGTCGCGGGTACTGTGTGGGGTCTGTGGTAATACCGTTGGCTATGATGACATGGCTTACGAGACGACGGGAATGAGGTGACTTACGAGTCGACTCGGCAATCGTCAAGGGCTCTGTGGGGCTAGCGTTGGGTATGGTGAAGCGGTCAACTGGAAACAGGGGGGAATACAAAGGGGAATGTTCCGAAAAGGATTGTTGTGCTCGCTAGTCTTTATTCCAAGTGTCCACCTTCCACCCCTCTTCCTCCGTCCCCCCAAGTTTCCCTACCTCCTCCCCATCCCCCTGGCCTTTTCCCCTACGCGTGTGCTCAGACGTGCAGTACCCGTCAGGCAGCTTGTCGTTTTTGCCGCCTCGAGTTCTGAGTTTCTTTGCCCCTCCGCCGCTCAGCCTCCCCTTTACCCCCCACCACTGGCGGAAGCCGCATGCGCTCGGACGTGCAGTACCCCGTCGGGCTTTTTCAGCGCGCGGATCGCCACTTTTCAATCTGCGTTCCGCCTCTCACCCCCTCCCCCTTCCCCTGGCCTCCCCCTCCTTCTTCCCCGCAGGCGGAAGCCGCGTGCGCACAGACGTGCAGTACCCGTCGGGCATCTTCAGCGCGCGGATCAAGTGCCCCAAAGGGGACATCAGCGGCCTGGTGCAGTCCTATTATGTACGTTCTTTCTTTGGCTCTCCCGTTATACTCGTTATAAGGCGGTCTGCAGACTCGCAAGTGAGACTGCAATGCTGATTCCCCTCGATGCCCCTTCCAATCTTCTTTCCTTTTGGCGGTACGTTGACGCGTTTTCGAAGTTCTCAAGGTTCGCCATCCAACCCCCCCTGCTCCAATCCTTCCCCCCCCCCCCCCCCCCCCCCCCCCACCTCCCCCCGCTGACGTCACTCTCGCGCCTTGCAGTTATCCTCGTTAGAAGGCAGCCGGGATCAGGACGAGATCGATTTCGAGTTCCTGGGAAAGGACAAGTGGCAGGTGCAGACAAACTACTACGTGGACGGCAAGGGCGGGCGGGAGGTTTTGATTCCGTTAGGGTTCGACTGCTCGTCGGACTTCCACGAATACGCCATGTTCTGGAACGAGAATCAAATCATGTAAGTGGACTTACGAGGTGAATCAAAAGCAACAGAACAAACGGATTCGTGAAAATAAAATTCTGAGGTAAACTTGGCCTGACTCTTTAATGCCTTCATCCGCTGCTTTCCATTCTCCCCGCACTCCAGATGGCAGATTGATGGAAAGGTGGTGCGCGTGGCGAAGCGCAAGGATGGAGAGCCGTACCCAGTGAAACCCATGTACACGTATGCATCCATCTGGGATGCGAGCTATGTGCTCGACGGGCGATGGTCGGGCGACTGGCGTGGCTGGAACGAACCCTACATCGGGTGAGTAACACTAAGGATATACACAAAATGCGCTTTTGTTTACATTTATCATGACTCACTGGTGTTAAAAACGCCATTCTCGTTCACATTTCTCGTGGCATCAGCATATGCGTAGTTCATGGGCTTCGCATTTCCATGGCATCTTATCTCAAACCACGTCTCTCTCCTCTACTCTAATGCTTTGCCGAATCTGCCCACAGCGAGTATGAGGACTTGAAGGTGGTCTCCCCCGCACCCGACGTCTCCTGGTAGCAGACAAGGCATGGCAGTGACTTTCATAAGGGAGGGGGGGGAGGAAGGAAGGGGGACATGGCCAATCGGAACAGTACATGTGCTTTACCTCGTAGTACAGTACATATGGGGAAACGTATGGGGAAACAAAAAGGGCAGCTGCAACCACTGGAATTTGAGACATCTCACAAGCTAGGGACGGTGGTGGAGCAGGGACACTGGAATCGGGGTTTCAGGCATCCTCTCCAAAAGCTAAGTGCTATACATTTGTGTGAAGGATATAGTACTTATACTACTGTAGAAAGGTAGTCTAGCTGTGTTTGAGGCGTACCGGTACCGGTATCGGTAGTCTAGCTGCTGCTAGAGCAGGCTATAGTGTAGGAGGACTCCGTTCCTGGTGCCAAAGATGCTACAGGTTATAGCATAACCTGGTTGGTTGAGTCATGAGGCTGCTTAAAATGGTAGGAAGGGGGTGTGCTGATTTTAGCAAGTAACGTTGTGCACTTGTTTGCACCCACGCCCTCTCGTATGCTGAATTGATGCTAAACTTCACAGCGAATGGCTTTATGTAACAGACGTCCACAGGCTCTTTGTGTTGTAAAGAAACAAGTCTTTGTTGACATAACACTTGCAACTGACATAATGGTTGCAGAAGTCTTCAGAGACTGCTTTTCCCCTCCATATCACAGCAAAATAAGTCGTGCTGGCAAATGACCAATGTTGACACGCTGCTACGGACACCACCTAGGAGTTATTAGGAAAGCATTCCATTGCTGTTCTTGGCCCACATAATGCTCGGGCTGTCAAACTATATATGATTTATAATTAGGTTTAGGCTTTAGTGGGGTAGCCAATGTAGGGTACAACTCCTTAGGGTTCTCATCCTTGTACCCAACTCCCTCGATAGTCAACTTCACCTACCTACCTACTCTAACATGGTATTAAGAGCAGTTAGGTCTTAGGACCTAATTTCCTAGTGGGCCCACCGTCAAGTCTCGTATTTTGTAGCCTTACCCTGCCTATCGAGCTGCCCCACCCGTCGCGTCGCCCTGCTGGCCGCGCGACGCGCGTTTTTTTACTCGTCACGCCGCCCTAGGGCCCGGCCCCGCCCGTCACGTCGCCTTAGGGCCTTCGCGCCGCCCTCGGTAGCCAGTCGCGCTGCCCTGCTGGCAGCGCGCGACCCTGCCTGGCCCGTCGCGCACCTGTAGGGCCTGCGCGCCGCCTTTCCTTCCCTGCCGCGCCGCCCTTCTGGCAGCGCGCGGTTCGGCCCTCCTACTTGCTGCAGGTGCTACTATTTGCTACTACTTGCTGCAGTTGCTACTACATGCTGCAGCTGCTACTACTTACTGCAGCTGCTACTACTTGCTGCAACTGCAACTACTTGCTGCAGCTGCTACTACTTGCTGTAGCTGCTACTACTTGCTGCAGCTGCTACTACTTGCTGCAGCTGCTCCTCCTTACTGCTGCTGCTCCTCCTTGCAGCTGGTGCTCCTTACTGCGGCTGCTACTACTTGCTGCAGCTGCTCATACTTGCTGCAGCTGCTACTCCTTGCTGCAGCTGCTACTACTTGCTGCAGCTGCTCCTACTTGCTGCAGCTGCTCCTCCTTGCTGCTGGTGCTCCTACTTGCTGCAGCTGCTCCTCCTCGCTGCTGCTGCTACTGCTTGCCTACAATCGCTCTGCCCTGCTAGTCCCGCGCCAGCAGCTATGGCCACCCTCCGCGTTCTGTCGTTCGATGCCGAGGGTCGCCCGATTCAGTTCGAGGCCTGGCTCGATGACCTGCAGCTGTTCCTAATGAGCGATAGCAAGGACAATGTCTCGCTTTATCACCACACGCCTGGTGCCTTAGTCGCTCCCGCTGCCACCCATGAGCTTAGTGCCCGTTCCCAATGGCAGACTCGTGACACTGCTGCTCGAGCTCACGCACTTTGGCGAGCACAAAACTGCTAAGACCCTATACGACGTTGTAGTTGCTCGATACACCTCTCCTGCCACAGCTGAGCTTAGCCGCCTCATGCTGCCCTACCTGTTTCCTGAGCTGTCCACCTTTGCCACAGTTGCCGATCTCATCACCCACCTTTGCACTAGCGACACTCGCCTTCGCGTCGCCCTCCCCACGGAGTTCAGTGCTAAGAGCCCGCCTCCGATGTACTGGACCCTACACTTTATCGTTACCCGCCTCCCTGACTCTCTGAGCTAGGTCAGGGACTATTTTCTCGCTCGCAGTCCCACCGACCTCACTGTAGACCTCCTAGAGGAGCGCCTCCTTGCAGCAGAGAAGATTATTGTTGCTGTAGGTGCTGCTCGCGGCGCTCCTCGCACCCCCATCTTTGAGGGGGGCTCTCCCTCTCCCCTCGCCCCCTCCTTCGCTACTGCTGCTGCTGCTGATTTCCTTGGTGCTGAGTCTGCTGGTGGTGCTTCAGCTCCTAGTGGGAGGCGCCGCAACGGCCGGGGCAGCGGAGGTGGCTCTGGGGGGGGTGGTGGTGGAGGAGGTGGAGGAGGAGGAGGTAGCGGAGGGGCTGGTGGTGGAAGTGCTGGCGGGAGTGGTAGCGTCAGTAGCGGTGGTGGAGGCGGTGGCGGCGGAGGGGGTGGCGGCGGGGGTGGCAGCGGCGGTGGCGGCGGCGGTGGCGGTCGGGGCGGTGGTGGCGGCGGCGGTGGCGGTCGGGGTGGAGGCACTGGCACTGGCCAGAGACAGCAGCAGCAGCAGCGTCCCCAAACGTCCCAGCAGCTTCGTGAGTGGCTTGCTCAGCGTGGGAAGTCTGGGGGTGGTGGTCGCTGCTCATATGTCATTCGCACAGGTGACCGCAAGGGTCAGACGTGCAACAGGTTCCACACCTAGCATTGCTGCTTCTCCCGCCTTGACAACGCCTGGCGTGAGGAGATGGGAGATGAGTATGAGCGCCCTCGGTGGCATGAGCTGTGGAAGGCTGGTGTAGATGTTTTGGCTCTTGACTTTGATGCTATTTTCTTTGCTATGTATGCATTGGAAGTTAGTGCTGATGGTGACTGTTACCTGTGTATGCCGCCTGACCCAGGTATAGAGCCTGCTGTCTTTGGTGCTAGTGAGTCTGCTCTCTCAGGTACCGCGCCTGCTGAGGCCTTGCACACCTTCACACCTGACTCATGTATAGAGGCGGCTGCCTTAGGTGCAGACGAGTCTGCTTTCTCCAGTACTGAGCCTGCTGAGGCCTTGCACACCTTCACGCTTGACTCAGGTGCTTCTCGCTGTTTCTTCCGTGACAGTACCGCACTCACACCGCTCCTTGCGCCTATCGCCGTCTCTCTTGCTGACCCCTTAGGGGGCCCAGTTCTTGCCCGGTCCACCACTGTGCTTCCGTGTCCGGCGGTTCCGTGCGCGCACTGCCCCGACTGCCCGGCGCATCACTCTGATTGGTCCACTGCATTGGATGCCTCATTTATTTTGCTAGTCCTCTTGATGAGACAATTTTGCACGCCCACAACAAGTGGATCCATTTCGTTCCATGCGGTTGGCAAGATTTGAGCGCCCGAACTCTGCATGGTACGCCCATTATAGGTGCGCACACTGCTCCGACTGCCTAGCGCATCACTTTGATTGGTTTGCTGCATTGGATGCCTCATTTTTTTTCCTATTCCCCTTGTTGAGACCATTTTGAACGCCCACAACAAGTGGCTCCATTTCGTTCCAGGCGGTTGGCAAGATTTGAGCGCCCGAACTTCTGGCTCACTGTCAGGTCTCTACCTCCCCTCGTTCTCGACGAACTTGGTGAGCAACGCTGCCCTTCAGGATGTGGGGGTTAATACCTTCACCCCTACATGGCAGCGTGTGGAGATCTGCACGTGTGCACAGACTAGCCGTCACCTGGCCACGTTCACCCGTCGGCCAGGGTCGAGTCTTTACACACTGACGACTGTGTCTCCTCAGGTTGCTGCTGTCGGCCAGGTGTCTGCGTCAGGTCTGGTAGCCTCCCCTTGTGAGTGTCGCGCCCTGTCGCACCAGACTCTTCTCTGGCACCACCGTCTGGGTCACCCCTCCTTGCCACGTCTCTGTGGCATGCATCGTCACCTCCTTGTGTGTGGTCTTCCCAGGTCTCTCCCTCCCCTCCCTGCCTCGCCTGCGCCGCCTTTCCTCGAGGGGCGGCAGCGCGCCGCTCCTCACTCATCCTCGTTTCCCCCGACAGAGGCTCCTCTCCAAACCCTCCACCTGGACGTGTGGGGCCCAGCACGCGTTCGTGGACAGGGCGGTGAGCGGTACTTTCTGCTAGTTGTCGACGACTACTCACGTTACACCACGATCTTCCCCTTGTGCACCAAGGGTAAGGTCCCTGCTGTCCTGATCCCTTGGATACGAGCAGTTCGTCTCCGACTCCGCCGCAGGTTTTGCCAGGACCTGCCTGTCCTGCGTCTGCACTCAGACAGAGGTTGTGATTTCACCTCTGACCTCTTGCGGGCCTTCTGTCAGAGGGAGGGCATCGAGGAGTCGTTCACGCTTCCGGGCTCAACGCAGCAAAATGGGGTTGCTGAGTGCCGCATTGGCTTAGTCATGGAGGTTGATCGTACCTCCCTGATCCATGCGGCGGCTCCCCATTTTCTGTGGCCGTTTGCGGTCCGGTACGCCGCGCAGCAGCTCAACCTCTGGCCTCGTGTCTCCTTGTCGGAGACCTCGCCCACAGTGCGTTGGACGGGGGAGGTTGGCGATGCGTCGCGTTTCCGAGTCTAGGTTGCTCGTGCCCTTGTCCACGATACGTCCGCGGACAAGCTCTCCTCCCGCACCATTCCCTGTGTCTTCCTTGGTTTTGTCCCTGACGCGCCTGGCTGGCAGTTTTACCACCCCACATCGCGCCGTGTCTTCCCCTCTCAGGACGTCACCTTTGACGAGTCGGTTCCTTTCTACCGTCTCTTCCCCTACCGCACTGCCCCTCTCCCCCCCCCACCGCTATTCCTCGCTCTAGGTCCCCCTCCGGTAGACCCCCTCCCCCCTCAAGGTCCTGCTCATTCTGGTGTGTCTCAGCTAGACCCGCCCCTTCTGGCTGAGCCTGTAGA